GAAGTGCGACAGAAACCAAATAGCCTTCAAGGTAGCGTGCCTTGAATGCCGTTCGTCAGCCAATCGGACGAACTGAGTATTTGACGAATGATTTTCAACTGGAGGAGGCGTACGAGAAACTGTGTACCTGAAGCTCGAGCGGTGAATTCGGTCGAGGACTTCGTGTTCCGCCTGGAGTTCCTGCAGAGAAAGTATCAATGCCCGTGAAAGGAGGTCCTGCGCGGTTTCCACCTGCTCCTGACCGGCCGCGCCCGCGAGTGGTATTGGATCCACCACATGCTTCAACTTCCCGCGCGATTCCAGAAGCCGCTGAGAGACCGCGAGCTGGTGAAAATTATAAAGCGTGGTTTGACATGGATGTACTCACCGTGGATGAGCTGCGCCAAAAGTGCCTAGAAGTGGAGAGGCACATGGGTCGCAGAAGCCGGACGGGGTACCTGCAGCCGTCGCGTTGTCCACAAGGAACGACGCCCGTAGTCCACGAGGTTGAAGTACCACCACATCGTACAAAAACGCCGCCGGGAGAACTGGAGGAAGCATTCGTGCAAGGCAGGAACTCATCCCGACTTGTATGCTCGAACTGCAGACAGTTCGATCACGTCTTTAGAGACTGCCTGTCCAAGGAGCGGAAAATATTCTGCTATAGGTGTGGAAAGCCGGACACTTTCTGCTTCCAGTGTGAAAACTGTCCGGGAAACCCCAGAGGGAGCGCGGTGATGGCGGGACAGACGCGTTCCGGGACGGCGACCGCAGGGAAGCAGAAGAGGGGTACCTACCAAAGCCAATAATCATTGGAAAGGAGATGGAGATTTGGGATAAGGATCAGGATAAGGCTAATTATTATAATAATATAAGCAAAGGAGGAACACTTAGGGGCTTACCATATGAAGAACGTGTTCGGGCATACATGTTGGCCCGAAATTGAAGTTTTGGTGAGCGACAGCTAGAAGGAATGACACTAGCCACTCGGAGAGTGGTGGTGGCACGTTCGCGCTTCCGCAGACGCAGGATTACCCGGCACCAGGTCGTCGAAGCGGTGAGACGGGAGGATAGTATAGACCCACGCGTATTCACCGAAGTGGAAGTCGTCGGGGCTAATATGACAGGGTTGCTGGACACGGGGGCCTCAGTCAGTCTGTTGGGACGAGGATGCCGAGAGTTAGTGAAGGAACTGGGATGGGAAGCGCGGCCATACGAATCGATAGTAAGGACAGCGGCGGGTGCCAATCGCCCAATTTTAGGTCGCGTTGTTCTGCCTGTGAAATACGAGAATAGAAAGGAAGATATCGTATTTTACATGTGCCCGGACCTGCGACAGGAACTATACCTGGGAATCGACTTCTGGCGAGCCTTCGAAATTGTACCAGAGCTACTCGGTCCGGGCAGAAAGCCCGAAACACCACCAGAGGCATCTTAGGTAACGGTAGCGAACCCAGATTTGGCTTATTACCGGGACGACGATGACTGCGCGGCGGATCCGGAAATATGGGTCCTGGACAACGATCAGAGGAGTCAGTTGGAAAGCGTGAAACGCAGCTTTCCCCAATTTGAGAAGGATGGCTTAGGGAAAACTCACCTGCTGCAGCACCGAATTCAGCTGATCGAGGGAGCAGAACCCGTGAAGAACAGACATTATCCGCTGTCTCCGGCCAAACAGGAGATCGTGTGGGCCGAGGTGGATAAAATGCTAAAGTTGGGCATCATCGAGGAGAGTAACAGCCCCTGGAGCAACCGGACGACGGTGGCGATGAAGCCTGGAAAGAACAGGTTTTGCTTAGACGCCAGGAAATTAAACAGTGTGACGGTAAAGGACGCTTACCCGCTTCCATGCATCGAGGGTATCCTATCGCGAATCGACGAGACTCATTTTATCTCTAGCGTCGACCATAAGTTCGCGTTCTGGCTAATCGAGATGGAAGAGAAGAGTAGGGCGTATACGGCGTTTACCGTACCAGGGAGGCCGCTGCCATTCGGGCTCTGCAAAGCCGCTCAACAACTTTGCAGGCTCATGGACAAGGTAATCCCGGTGAGTCTGAGGTCCAACGTGTTCGTATACCTATACGATTTGCTGATAATATCGGCAGATTTTCCAACGCACCTTAAATACTTAGAACTGGTGGCCGAGTGTCTGAGGAACACGAACCTCACCATAGGCATGGCGAAGTCAAAATTCTGCTTCCGCAACCTAAACTACCTGGGTTTCATCATAGGCGGCGGAACGGTGCGCATGGATCCGGGAAGAGTAGAAGCGGACGGTCAAGGAACTACAAAGCTTCTTAGGTACAGTGGGGTGGTATCGACGATTCATAAAGAACTTCGCCGAGATCTCGGTACCGTTGACTGATGCCCTTAAGAAGAGAACGGGTAGATTTTTGTTGAGTGACGAGGCCATGGATGCCATAGAAAGCTTGAAGTTAGCCCTCACCACAGCCCCGGTGTTAGTTCACGCGAATTTTCGAAGGCCATTCTTCATCCAATGCGACGCATCTCACTGCGGAGTAGGAGCCGTGTTGTCCCAGATAGACGACGAACAGCAGAAAAGGCCGATCGCATTCTTCTCGACCAAACTCAACAAGCAGCAGATCAACTATTCGGTGACCGAGAAGGAACGCCGAGAAGGTTGCCGGATCTTAGAGTGCAGGACGGACTTCTGTTCAAGAGGACAGTGAACGAGAGCTTGGAGGATAAGGTCGAAGGCACAAGTTAGAAGCTCTGGGTGCCGGAGTCGCTGACTGCAGGACTCATCCAACAAGCACACGGGGACGAGACGTCAGCTCATGGAGCTGCACGCGCTGCGCAGGCGATATTATTGGCCCAACATGGCCATACAAGTCAGGGACTATGTACGGAAATGCGATACATGCAAGGAGACCAATGCACAAAACTACCGGACGCAGGTCGGAATTGGGGAGGAAGTGCATACCGACCGCCCCTTCCAGAAGCTATATATCGACTTCTTGGGGAAGTATCCACGGTCGAAACGAGGGCATGCGTGGATATTCGTCGTCGTAGACCATTTCTCGAAATTTACCTTCCTGAAGGCCATGAGGGAAGCCACCGCGGCGGATGTCGTGAACTTCCTAGTGCATGAGCTGTTCTTCAAATTTGGCATGCCGGAAGTGATCCATTCGGATAATGGACGACAATTCGTGTCAACGTCGTTTGATGCGATGGTCCGGCGTTTGGCATTACTCAACGCCGCTGAACGGGTGAACCGCACAGTTCTGTCTTCAATCAGAACCTACCTGGGTCAGGATCATCGGGATTGGGACGCGTACCTACCAGAGGTGGAAGTGGCGATCCGGAATGCGGTCCACAGCGCTACTAGAGTGACTCCGTTCTTCGCGGTCTTTGGACAGCAGATGTACCTGAATAGTTCCAGTTACAAACTGTCCAGGAAGCTGAGATCTTTGGCCGATCACAGTATTTCTGACCTTGATGCGAAGGACAGACTCTCTGTAATCCGAAGCCAAGTCAAGGACCACCTGCACACCGCATACGAGCGAAGTCGCCAACGATACGGCCACCGCGTTCGCCAGCTCCATCTGGAACCGGGACAGGAAGTGTGGAGGCGCAACTTCGCACTAAGCAACTTCAGCAAAGCCTTCAATGCCAAGTTCGCCCGGAAATTCTTGAAGAGCCGAGTTGTCCGAGCCGTGTGCACCAACGCCTGCGAGTTAGAAGATCTCCAGGGACGCGCGCTAGGCGTCTTCCACGCAAAAGATATACGAACATAATTGTAATTTCCTCACCTTCCTGCCAGGCAATGGCGGCAGCAGCGCCCGTCCTCCCTTTTTTCTTTTGGGTCAGTGCGAAAATATAGATTACTTGTCGTGGGTGTGGCCTACGTTGGGCATCGTTATTAGCCCGCTTGGTCAATCCATGAAATGCGCACGGAGATTCCTTGTAACGGTCATTCATGGCGTTACAGTAATCTGCGTGGTGATGTTGCATTTGACGTTATCGGCAGCACCGAGGGTTTACTTAGTTGGTTGCGTGCGATATTATCGGCCACCCCGATATCTTTTTGTCATATGGTCAGAGTATGCGGGGTGAAGCTGGGCCCACGGCGGAGCCTAAATTTTTGAAGGGTGGCAACGCCAGACTTGCGATCCATGGCGCCAAAAGCGACGATTGCTATCGGCCGCCCAGTTCGCTCTTAAAGATAATATGAGGAGAGTGGATCGCATGCCCTTGGATATGCCCTTGGCCGTCATTTGGGCCATTGACCCAAAAAAAAAGTTGTGCAGATGGGCAGCAATGGTGCTCGCCTCACCAATGTATGCGTGTGCCGAAATTCGGCACCAATGATGTTGCTGCCCAAATGTACAGCGGTCCACAGCGGACGTACGGGCTCACAGTTAAGAATTTTTGGAAGTTGGATATTTTTTTTTGCCGGCCACGGAACATATGCTTAACCAAAAAGAAAAATAGAAAAAAATAAAGGGGATACATTTGTTCATGACGGGCTTTCTTTATTATTTAATTGCGAAGATAATTCCTTATGTGCTAACTTATTGCAAAAGAAATAGTGCCCAAGATCGATAATACGCGAAACAATAATACACCTAAAACACACTGTCGTCATTTAAAACTTCTTCAAAAGCGATACTCTATTAGAGCAGCCGCAGCCATTCTGTGGCACACCACGTTTGAATCCCGCGCTGGAGGACGCTGGCCAGATCAACCCGGATTCACGGGCCGGATTTGCAAAGCGCGGCCAAGTGTCGGCGTAATTCACACAACGGAGAGACGAGCCATCACGGACGGGACTCACACGACGAAGAGGCAGCCACGGTCGAGACCACGCCCATATCATCCGAGTGAGTCTGTTCCATTTCGTGCCTCCTCGCCTGAGTAAACGGCAGAGTCAGACGCGGACTTCCCATTGGGCTCCCTGAAAGAGAACCGATGTTTTTGGAATTTTTAGCTCCAGTTTTTATTTTGCTTTAAATAGAAAAAAAAAGTACTCACGACCAGTTTAAATTAAGTAAATTTCCTAAAGTGCGAACCGGAAAGGAAAGGGCCCAAAGATTATTGCGTCTGCCAAGTAAAGAATAAAAGTAAAAAGTTTAGATTTTGGTTAACTTATGCACGAGTGATACCCACTTATGCGTATATATACTTATATATAATATATATATGTTACGCACCTCAGGTGCATGTGCTCCTCACCCAGAGAGCTCTTTAGGCAGGCAAGGTAATAAGCGCTTTGACAAACAACGCCTTTCGTTGGAAACACATATGTATACACGCATTTATTTAAGCGGGTAGTTGCTCCCCATTGGTGCAATAATTACCTGTGTTTATATTTCTCCCCTTGTTTTCCTTTCCTTTGTTGACTGGCAATAATTTCTGGCCGTCGAAGGTCGCCAACAGAAAAAGATATTCTGTACAAAAAAAAGGAAATTTAATATATTTAAGATTAATAGAAATTGTTACAGATAGTTGAAAGAAGGAAAGCAATTGAAACATAAAACTTATACCTATTATTTTAAATATAAGAATATACAACTTATCGTATGCACCTGGTTTAAAATGCCAGAAATATTCGCGAGTCCGAAAGTATAAATAATGGTTTGATTGATAACCTGCTGGGGAATAAGAAATAAGATTAAATGTTAATAATGATAAGAAATGCAACCAGTTATATACCATATCTGAAGAGAGAAATTTTCTTTGATGGGGAGAGTTGGCATAACAGCCGGCACAGGCTGATGGCCATCTAATGGCAGAAAGTGAAAGACGAGTAGGTGATCGTCTCATGGTTGGGCGGGTAGTTAGAAGTTCCGATTGCTTGACGTTGTCGAGTGGTGGTTCGCTTTGCATAGTGTTGTGTAAGTCTGTTTTGCTACAGACGTGTAGCTTCGTTGTTATCGATTGTGCGGACTGCGGGCCAGGGATGGGACTACACCCAAAGAAACCGATGAGCCAGCCGGCGCGCCCCACCGAGAAAAAAGCAGTTCCGTAACAATATGGCGCCCAATGAAGAAGCACTCGGCTTCTTTGAAGTCGGTGCGTAATCAAAGAAAAATAAATACGATATAAATGAAGGTACAGAGAAAAGGATTCCTTTGGCTTCAGGACCCACACCGCTGAAGTCTTATGTGGCACGAGTAGGTAGCCCATAATCGCGCAGCGTGTAGTGGAATCCGAGAAGCACGACGGAAGTAGAGAATATCCATAAACATGAGAAGTTTTCTTGTAGTGGTTGATGACGGTAAGTCACGTTCGCATGTTAGCGAAACGTTCGCGACCGTTTATCGTAGCCTGATGGTAGCCGCCACGACAAAATAACTTGTGATAGAATGTGATATTAGGGTAGGTCTTACTAGAGTTTGTTTAATGTTTTCTATTTGTTTTGTCCCACTCTGTGCTAACGTTTGGGGTGTGCTGGCCGTAGGTAAATGAGCTTCGGAGACAGGTGACCTAGGACGATAAAAAGCCGATCCTGCGCCGCACGTGTCGCACAGCATACCCTAAGGGTGCCCAGAAGTGCGACAGAAACCAAATAGCCTTCAAGGTAGCGTGCCTTGAATGCCGTTCGTCAGCCAATCGGACGAACTGAGTATTTGACGAATGATTTTCAACTGGAGGAGGCGTACGAGAAACTGTGTACCTGAAGCTCGAGCGGTGAATTCGGTCGAGGACTTCGTGTTCCGCCTGGAGTTCCTGCAGAGAAAGTATCAATGCCCGTGAAAGGAGGTCCTGCGCGGTTTCCACCTGCTCCTGACCGGCCGCGCCCGCGAGTGGTATTGGATCCACCAAATGCTTCAACTTCCCGCGCGATTCCAGAAGCCGCTGAGAGACCGCGAGCTGGTGAAAATTATAAAGCGTGGTTTGACATGGATGTACTCACCGTGGATGAGCTGCGCCAAAAGTGCCTAGAAGTGGAGAGGCACATGGGTCGCAGAAGCCGGACGGGGTACCTGCAGCCGTCGCGTTGTCCACAAGGAACGACGCCCGTAGTCCACGAGGTTGAAGTACCACCACATCGTACAAAAACGCCGCCGGGAGAACTGGAGGAAGCATTCGTGCAAGGCAGGAACTCATCCCGACTTGTATGCTCGAACTGCAGACAGTTCGATCACGTCTTTAGAGACTGCCTGTCCAAGGAGCGGAAAATATTCTGCTAAAGGTGTGGAAAGCCGGACACTTTCTGCTCCCAGTGTGAAAACTGTCCGGGAAACCCCAGAGGGAGCGCGGTGATGGCGGGACAGACGCGTTCCGGGACGGCGACCGCAGGGAAGCAGAAGAGGGGTACCTACCAAAGCCAATAATCATTGGAAAGGAGATGGAGATTTGGGATAAGGATCAGGATAAGGCTAATTATTATAATAATATAAGCAAAGGAGGAACACTTAGGGGCTTACCATATGAAGAACGTGTTCGGGCATACATGTTGGCCCGAAATTGAAGTTTTGGTGAGCGACAGCTAGAAGGAATGACACTAGCCACTCGGAGAGTGGTGGTGGCACGTGCGCGCTTCCGCAGACGCAGGATTACCCGGCACCAGGTCGTCGAAGCGGTGAGACGGGAGGATAGTATAGACCCACGCGTATTCACCGAAGTGGAAGTCGTCGGGGCTAATATGAAAGGGTTGCTGGACACGGGGGCCTCAGTCAGTCTGTTGGGACGAGGATGCCGAGAGTTAGTGAAGGAACTGGGATGGGAAGCGCGGCCATACGAATCGATAGTAAGGACAGCGGCGGGTGCCAATCGCCCAATTTTAGGTCGCGTTGTTCTGCCTGTGAAATACGAGAATAGAAAGGAAGATATCGTATTTTACATGTGCCCGGACCTGCGACAGGAACTATACCTGGGAATCGACTTCTGGCGAGCCTTCGAAATTGTACCAGAGCTACTCGGTCCGGGCAGAAAGCCCGAAACACCACCAGAGGCATCTTAGGTAACGGTAGCGAACCCAGATTTGGCTTATTACCGGGACGACGATGACTGCGCGGCGGATCCGGAAATATGGGTCCTGGACAACGATCAGAGGAGTCAGTTGGAAAGCGTGAAACGCAGCTTTCCCCAATTTGAAAAGGATGGCTTAGGGAAAACTCACCTGCTGCAGCACCGAATTCAGCTGATCGAGGGAGCAGAACCCGTGAAGAACAGACATTATCCGCTGTCTCCGGCCAAACAGGAGATCGTGTGGGCCGAGGTGGATAAAATGCTAAAGTTGGGCATCATCGAGGAGAGTAACAGCCCCTGGAGCAACCGGATGACGGTGGCGATGAAGCCTGGAAAGAACAGGTTTTGCTTAGACGCCAGGAAATTAAACAGTGTGACGGTAAAGGACGCTTACCCGCTTCCATGCATCGAGGGTATCCTATCGCGAATCGACGAGACTCATTTTATCTCTAGCGTCGACCATAAGTTCGCGTTCTGGCTAATCGAGATGGAAGAGAAGAGTAGGGCGTATACGGCGTTTACCGTACCAGGGAGGCCGCTGCCATTCGGGCTCTGCAAAGCCGCTCAACAACTTTGCAGGCTCATGGACAAGGTAATCCCGGTGAGTCTGAGGTCCAACGTGTTCGTATACCTATACGATTTGCTGATAATATCGGCAGATTTTCCAACGCACCTTAAATACTTAGAACTGGTGGCCGAGTGTCTGAGGAACACGAACCTCACCATAGGCATGGCGAAGTCAAAATTCTGCTTCCGCAACCTAAACTACCTGGGTTTCATCATAGGCGGCGGAACGGTGCGCATGGATCCGGGAAGAGGAGAAGCGGACGGTCAAGGAACTACAAAGCTTCTTAGGTACAGTGGGGTGGTATCGACGATTCATAAAGAACTTCGCCGAGATCTCGGTACCGTTGACTGATGCCCTTAAGAAGAGAACGGGTAGATTTTTGTTGAGTGACGAGGCCATGGATGCCATAGAAAGCTTGAAGTTAGCCCTCACCACAGCCCCGGTGTTAGTTCACGCGAATTTTCGAAGGCCATTCTTCATCCAATGCGACGCATCTCACTGCGGAGTAGGAGCCGTGTTGTCCCAGATAGACGACGAGCAACAGAAAAGGCCGATCGCATTCTTCTCGACCAAACTCAACAAGCAGCAGATCAACTATTCGGTGACCGAGAAGGAACGCCGAGAAGGTTGCCGGATCTTAGAGTGCAGGACGGACTTCTGTTCAAGAGGACAGTGAACGAGAGCTTGGAGGATAAGGTCGAAGGCACAAGTTAGAAGCTCTGGGTGCCGGAGTCGCTGACTGCAGGACTCATCCAACAAGCACACGGGGACGAGACGTCAGCTCATGGAGCTGCACGCGCTGCGCAGGCGATATTATTGGCCCAACATGGCCATACAAGTCAGGGACTATGTACGGAAATGCGATACATGCAAGGAGAACAATGCACAAAACTACCGGACGCAGGTCGGAATTGGGGAAGAAGTGCATACCGACCGCCCCTTCCAGAAGCTATATATCGACTTCTTGGCGAAGTATCCACGGTCGAAACGAGGGCATGCGTGGATATTCGTCGTCGTAGACCATTTCTCGAAATTTACCTTCCTGAAGGCCATGAGGGAAGCCACCGCGGCGGATGTCGTGAACTTCCTAGTGCATGAGCTGTTCTTCAAATTTATCATGCCGGAAGTGATCCATTCGGATAATGGACGACAATTCGTGTCAACGTCGTTTGATGCGATGGTCCGGCGTTTGGCATTACTCACCTGTGCACACCAGTGTATTCGCCTCAGAGCAACGCCGCCGAACGGGTGAACCGCACAGTTCTGTCTTCAATCAGAACCTACCTGGGTCAGGATCATCGGGATTGGGACGCGTACCTACCAGAGGTGGAAGTGGCGATCCGGAATGCGGTCCACAGCGCTACTAGAGTGACTCCGTTCTTCGCGGTCTTTGGACAGCAGATGTACCTGAATAGTTCCAGTTACAAACTGTCCAGGAAGCTGAGATCTTTGGCCGATCACAGTATTTCTGACCTTGATCCGAAGGACAGACTCTCTGTAATCCGAAGCAAAGTCAAGGACCACCTGCACACCGCATACGAGCGAAGTCGCCAACGATACGGCCACCGCGTTCGCCAGCTCCATCTGGAACCGGGACAGGAAGTGTGGAGGCGCAACTTCGCACTAAGCAACTTCAGCAAAGCCTTCAATGCCAAGTTCGCCCGGAAATTCTTGAAGAGCCGAGTTGCCCGAGCCGTGTGCATCAACGCCTACGAGTTAGAAGATCTCCAGGGACGCGCCCTAGGCGTCTTCCACGCAAAAGATATACGAACATAATTGTAATTTCCTCACCTTCCTGCTAGGCAATGGCGGCAGCAGCGCCCGTCCTCCCTTTTTTCTTTTGGGTCAGTGCGAAAATATAGATTACTTGTCGTGGGT